ATTCAAATTGAAGACATTTGAAGAATCAACTATTGAAAACATGTTTTTTAATTTGTAATATTATTGTATTTGAAATTATATATATCTATACTATACTAAAAATTGATATATACTCTCGTAAGAAAGTTTTTGTTTATGTTCATGTTAAAGTTTTTTATATTTGACGACAAAATTACAAGTTCAAACATTATGCCGAATTTGAATAAAAAAATATAAATAAAAGATATTTATTATATTATTATATAAAATGTACTTTTATGTATTAATAAACGTGGTGGTACTAGCAATACTTAACGTTTAAAACATACAAATAGGCAATTTTGGAATAATTTTTAAATGAATAAAATACTTTTCATTGGAAATAAAATACAAATATTATTACACATTTAAAATATGAAAAATCAGATTAAAAAACAAACTATGAGTTTATATACTTTTAAAGCATGGATAACCGAAAATTATCGATACACTTTAATTTTAATAAATACCATTAAATTATCATATTTATAATTTCATTGTAACATTTCTTCACTCAAATTAAAAATTTAGAACTTTTTTATAAACACTTTTTATATTAATTGTATATTTTGTACTTTTTTGAAATTATGTTTAAAATGTTATAAATAAACATTTAAATAATTGTGTGTTAATGTATTGTTTGTACAATTATGTTCCATTTACATTGTAATATCTCGATTATTTTTATTAAAAAGTATATGACAAAAAAAAATGAATAATTATTTTAAACTATAATTAATAAAATCAAATTATAGTGTTTGCACAATTTTTGAACACATTACATGACTTAATATAAATGTTGTCTGTCGATGTTATACAAAAAGTTTTTTAAAGGTTACACTTAGAAGATTTACATTTAATAAAAAAGGTTATATTATATTCATAAAATTATCTTTTTTTCATTTTTTGTTCTTTTATTTTGTATTGATTAATAAATATCAGTATGTATAAAAAAATATTGCATTACACCTTTGTATATAAGCGATAAACCAATTAGTCATTATATTGTAATTCATTTTTATCATTAAGTTTGACTTTTTAAATGAATAAAAATTGAAAAATAATGCAATAGAAAATTTAATGTTATATGAATGTTTAAGATGTTATTAATTGTTCATTAAAGGACATACAAGTTCAGAAATTGATTTACAGTTAACGGAAAAGTGGGATGCTGAGAAAAAAGGGATACTAATTTAAATATTAATTAATTTAATATTATTAATAATAAATAATTAATATAAATTTAGTTTGGTTTTTTCATTTTATTAATATTTTGATTAATAATTTATATTAAAATTAATAGTAATTTTATTATTTTTCAATTGAAATAAACCAATAGTTACAAGCATCCTCCTTTCTCTTGCATCCCCATATTTCCTCCCAGACGTTTCCAAAATATTTATTGCCAAAAATGTGGGATTATAACGTACGAATTTATAAGAGAAAATAAACATTTTGGTTAAAAAATGGTGACGTGGGTAATTAGGATTGTGGTTTTGGAAACCTCTGTTTCCTCCTACTGTACAAATAATAAAAATAATTTTGAGTAAATAAAATTAACCAATAAAAAATAAATGATATAAAATAAATCACTTGACCCAATTTATTAATTTATAAACAATGACAAGTGCTCTCAAAATTTCAAACCCCCGTCCCCACGTGGCAAGATTCAAGAACTCGATTACATTGTGATTTCAATAAATAGCAGAAATCCAAATTATTTTTAGTTATACTTCAATTTCTTTGTTAATCAAAAAACACACAAAAACTAAAATAACAGCAAAAATCAAAATTTTAGCACATATTTTACAAAAATATAAAATTTTTATAACAAAGAATTTTTCTTTCACAAATTTATTAAAGTTTATTTAATTATTTTTTATTTTTTTTGTTTTTTTTATATTTGTAATAAAACATATGTTTAACAGTAAGTATTGAATAAAAACTTTTTATGTTGACTGTCAAACACGATTAAAAACATGAACAATGGTGCAACAATTAGTTCAAAAACATTTATTATATGAAATAAATAAACATATTCTGTTTGATTATCAAGTTTGTTTTAAAAAATGACATAATGTTAACTCAAAAATTACACTTAAAGTCTGTTAAATTAAG